GAAGAATGTCGTCCACGTAGACCAGAAACATCACCAGCTTCTCCCCCCCCTTGCGTTGGATAGAACCGAATGTACGCAATCGATTAGATCGAACTGCAAAGCTTCCTCAATCCTTTGCGAGCTCGTCCTTTCTGCTTGCACTGTTCATAGCGCGTACAATGTTGTGCCGAAGCGCACATTGCACGAGTACCTGCAAATGCTTCAAGCAAAAAATGTGAAAGCAAACGAACACATGAACACACCATTCACACGCAAATGCATTCGCACACGCATACTCGTACAAACGGACGGCAGGATGTCATGCAATGTGAATTTGCACCCAACATAAGTAGCGCGCTTACTCTTGGTACCAACCGTATGGGTAAGTAACGCACTTACTCTTGGTACTAACCATATGGGTAAGTAACGCAATTTATCTTGGTACCAACCATACACGTAAGTAACTCACTTACTCTTGGTACCAACCATATGGGTCAATTACACACTTAGTCTTGGTACCAACCATATGGGTAAGTAATACACTTACTCTTGGTACCAATCATATGGGTAAGTCCGCTCTTACTCTTGGTACCAACTAAAAGGGAAATTAACACACGTACTCTAGCTACTAACCATAGGGGTAGTTAAGACACTTACTCTTGGTACAAACCATATGGATAAGTAACGTGCTTAGTCTTCGTACAAACCATATGAATCTAGTCTGCGCTTACTCTTGGTACAACCATATGACGAAGTAACGTGCTTGTACTTGGTACCAAGTATATTACTAAGCAATGCACTTAGTCATGGTACCAACCATATGGGTAAGTAATGCGCTTTCTGTTGGTGCAAGGGCCAAATTAACCCAAGGTATTAAGACTCAATCAAACTTCAAACCTCTCCGCTGGGTCACCTCCAAGGGCCCCTGGGTGCCTGGTACAAGACCAACCCCTATCCTCGGGTCCGAGAGTATAGAGAGAGGAATCAATAATGACTTGGCCAAAATAACAAGAGTACGTTATATGTCGCGCAGCGTATCGTGCAGACCGTCGATCGGATTAAGCTAAAATTTTGCTATAGCAAAGCTCGCTCCAAGAGCTTTAAAATAAGCCAAGTTTTGCCTCATGAAAAGTTCGGCCATTACGAAAATCCAATTGAACTATTTTACTATATCCAATTACGAATTTAGGAGAAAACTGTTTTAGCTAGCAAAGACCTTGGGAATCAACCTGGGAACAACCAAGGATGATCCCAAATAATTCCAAGCAAAAAAGCCGACCTTGCTCCAAATAGCAGGTGGTAGGTTGGTAAACAACCTCTGGTTCTATTTTTCCAACCTGGGAAAACAACAACCAGGTTCAGGTTCTAAAACTACAACCGGTTTTGACTTTGCCCAACCAGCCAAATGATGGTTGTGCTTGTTTCCTCTGGCCCTGTAGCATGCAGATACAGACAAACAACATCCAACCTTCACCTAAATTGTACCCTATAGTGCCTGCCCTGCTACACTATAGTCAACCGAACAAAACAGTACAATTTTGAGTTGGATAGAACTGAATCTGCGCAATCAATTTAACCGAACTGCAAAGCTTCCATCTTCGGTTCCTTTGCGAGCTCGTCCGTTCTGCTTGCACTGTTCATAGCATACAATGTTATGCCGAAGCGCACATCGCGCGATACCTGAAAATGCTTCAAGTGAAAATTGCGAAAGCAAACAAACACACGAACACACCATTCAGACGCGAATGCATTCGCACACGCATACTCGTACAAACAGACGACAAGATGCCATGCAATGTGAATTTGCACCCAACACACTCTCCCTCGGCCTGCCGACTGCATCCCCATCATTTCACGCTAGTGCATGCTCATTCCACTCATGCGCACACAACGCCAATGAGGCTCATCCGCAAGCCTCTTGGTTTGGAAGTCTGCTGGCTGCTGGTGAGTCTTGATATAGATTGGTTTCACCACCCACCTCCTCACCTGCTTACGCAGCCAGTGCCACTTGATACGCATGTGCTTGTTCAGCCCATGAAGCACAGCGTTCCTGGCCATCCCAAGAGCCCCCTTGCTATCACAAAACAGCAGCGTAGCAACTTTCTGCTCCTGGCCAATCTCCTCGAGCCTCCTCAACCAAATCAACTCCTTCACCCCGTGCAACATTGCCATGTACTCTGATTCAACAGAGGAGAGTGCCGTCTCCGTCTGCTTCTTGGACCTCCAACTAACAGGTCCTCCCCCAACTACGCAAATGTATCCTCCCACATATGAGAAATCCTCCTTCTCAGAAGCCCAAGTAGCATCGGTAAAGCAAGTGAGAAATAGCCTGCCTTTTTCTTCAAGTCGCTCCCCTCTCTCCTTCAGCACCTCAACCCCATTTTGCTTCACCTGTACAGGTGTGGAATTTCGATCTCCAATGGTTGGGTGAGAGTTCAGGTACTTCACCACACGTTTAGCTCCATTCTCCTGCTCCTCTGATGGATTCTGCACCACCCTAGCCAGCTGCCCAACCGAGAAAGAGAGGTCGGACCTCGTGTGAACCACTGCACAAAAGAAGCTGCCCTCCAAGGACTGAAATTGCTGCTGCTCCTCGGTGTCAACTCCTTCATCCTCAGCAGCCTTAACAGGCATGAATTCTGCTGGCAGGGAAGTTCTCATTTTCAGTCACATACTTCTCCCCTAGCTCCTTGATGAACTTCTCCTGGTGCAATTTCAACTATCTGTGATCTGGATCCCTCTCCACGTGCATCCCAAGGTAGTACTTTACCTCCCCAAGGTTCTTGCACTTAAAGTTCTCCATCAGTTGCTGCTGCACTTTCTAGATCTCCTTCATGCTGCTGCTGAAGAGAAGAATGCCATCCACGTAACCGAGCAAGAGCAAACAAGCAGGTGTAGATATATAGATCACAGTAAAAGGCAATGTCAAGCAGTAAGCAAGTGAGGCAGAGTAGGCACAAGGCCTAGAGCAGTGCAGAAACGCTGATGATCACCAGACACAAGTGCCTTGGTGAATGTACCCGCAGTGTTGGGCCATGTGGCTATGTAAGCAAGACGAAGCAAACCACGCTGCTGCAACTCTCATGCGAGGAAGTAACGTAGAGTGATATGCTTTGTTCTGTGCTCCTGTCTGTACTCCTGTCACAAGGCAATCATGACCTTGTTGTCGATGAATAGAACTGGAGGAGAACGAGGCCGCTCTCCCAAGTCGGTAAGTAGGTAGGTCAGCCAGCGTAACTCCTGTGCAGCCATGGCCCCCGCGTAGATCTCAGCCTCACAACTGGAGCTGAGAATGAAAGACGAGCGGGTAGACATCCAAGAAACTGAACAGGAGCCAAGGCTGAAGATGTAACCCTGTGACGAGTTGCCCGGTCGTCTAGCCAAGAAGCGTCTGAGTGTCCAGTGAGTACAACTGGACCCCGTCCTCCAAGCACAAGCTTCATGCCTGATGTACTGCACAAGTAACGCAGCACCCTCTTAGCAGCCCGTCAATGCTCTGGTCGGTGTCTCCCGTGGGCAACGTAGCGTGCCAGGATTCTGAGAGGGTACATGAGGCAACACATTAGCTCTGGATACTGACCACTCGGCTCTACAGACTCGTCCGAAGGTGGAGCTGAGAGCGAGTGACCTGTAGGCAGAGGAGTGGACTGTGGCGAGGAGAACTGGAAGCCGAAGCGCTGAAGGACCTGGTGCACCATGTGTGACTGAGTCAGGGTGATGGTGTGGCGTGCTCTGTCCCGGGTAATCTGCAAGCCAAGGTAGCTGCGCAGCTCTGTCAGTGCAGGAATGTCTCTTCTGCAGCTCCGACTTCACAAGGGCCAGTGCCTCAGTATCAACAGCAGCAAAGACCAAGTTGTTTACGTACACGAGGATGTAGAACGGCGGCGAAGAAGTGTCGGTGCGTAGAAACAACGACGGGTCAGCAGTCGAAGGAGCAAACCCAAGAGCCGCAAGCGTCGTCCTCAATATGTCGTGCCACACGCGAGGAGCCTGGCGGAGACCGTAGACTGTCTGCCAGAGACTCCACTGGGTACCCTAAGGAAACGACCCTGTGACGCCAGGTGGGCGGCGTAGCCAGATCTCCTAAGAAAGCTGCGCTGAAGTCAAGCGAGTGGAGCTCATAGTCGCGCTACGTTGCAATGTGCAGTAACACCCGAAGAGTGGTCATCTTCGGGGTTGGGGAGAAGGTCTGGAAGAAGTCGGCCCTCTTTCACTGACTGAAGCCTCGTGCAACGTAACGCGCCTTGAAGACAGGCGAAGAACCCGACAGTCGCTTCACCTTGAAAATTCGCATGCCATCGACTATGTTCGCCCGAGGTGGAGGTACTGCGCCAACGTAAGTGCCTGTAGACTTCCAAGATGCCACCTCCGCGTCCATGGCTGCCTGCCACTGAGAGGAGCACTGACTTGTGATCGCTTCTGCGTAAGAGCGCGGAGTCGGGATGTCTAGTGCATCCGGGTCTCCCTCAGGGGCAAGCAGCATGGCAGCGAGATGAGGTACAGCAGCCGCAAGACACTCGAGCTCAAACTGTCTGTCCTCAAGGACGTTCGTGCCAACGGCACGCTCACCCCCGACGGACGGAGAATAGTCAGGCTCATGCTCAGTGACAAGACTCGCAAGGTAGTTGAGACGACACACAGTAGCAAAGCCAACAAGCTCAGTGACTGAGGCAGACGCAGCAGCAAACTCAAAAACAGGGTCAATGACAAGGGTAGCTAGAAGACACATGAGAATAGGACAAGCAGCACGAGCAAGGTCAGACTCAGGGTCCAGAACGTCAGGAAGGAAGGACTCGGGAGGAGGACACGCTGTGGAACAGAGGAAGGACAAAGGGTCATCATGTGAGTTCTGGGGACTGGTGGAGTACGAGACGCATGCTCACGGCGCTCTGTCAGAGAGTCTGGCTGCTCAGTGTAAGGAGAAGGAGCAGGCAATGGGGAGTCCAGCGGTAAACTGTGTCTGAGAAGGGTCAGGTGGTGGACAGAGTAAGGGAGGAGTAAGGTCAGTGGAAGACGGAAGACTAAGAACCTGGCGAAGCGCCGAGCCAGGTGGTGGTAGTGAAAACTACGGCTGTGGTAAGAAAAACGGTCGCGACAGTACCTATGTTACTAGAGCCTCCAGTTCCAGTACCTCCAGCACCAGCACCTCCAGCACCTCCAGCTCCAAGACCTCCAGTACCTCCAGCACCTCTAGTACCAGTACGTATAGCTCCAGTACCTCCAGCACCAGCACCTCCAGCTCCAGTACCTCCAGCACCAGGACCTTCCGGCCCAGCGCCTATAGCACCTCCAGTACCTCCAGCTCCGGTGCCTCCAGCACGATTACCTCCAGGTCCATTACCTCCAGTACCAGCAGCGCCAGCTCCAGAACCTATAGCTCCAGCGTCCCCAGCACCTCCAGCACCAGTATTTCCACTACCTCCAGTACTAGTACCTACAGGTTCAGTGCTTCCAGCACCGACAGCTCCAACACCTCCAGCACCAGGACCACCAGTAGCGTCAGCCATAGGAGCTCCACTACTAGCGCCTCCAGCGTCACCACCAGAGCGGAACCGCCGAGTAACCCACTCGCGAAGCAGCTGTGGTGAGAGAGCCTTGGGTCGACGAGTCAGCTGCTGCTGGCCAGTACCTCCAGTGCCAGTACCTCCAGCTCCAGTGACTCTAGCACGGACATCTCCAGTAGCTCCAGCACCAAGACATACAGCACCGATAGAACCTCCAGTACCTCCAGTACCTCCAAAACCAGTACCTCCAACCTCGGAGCCCCGTGCACCTCTAGTAACTCTAGCTCCGGCGCCTCCAGCACCAGTACCACCAGTAGCGTCAGCCGCAGAAGCTCCAGCACCAGCGCCTCCAGCATCGCCACCAGAGCGGAACCGCCTAGTAACCCACTCGCGAAGCTGCTGCGGTGAGAGAGCCTTAAGTCGACGAGTCAGCTGCTGCTGGCCACCACCAGAACCTCGGACAGAAGCATCGACGACTCCTCCACCACCAGGATGCTCAGTGCCTCCAGAACCAGCACCTCCAGACTCAGCACCTCCAGAACCAGCACCGTCAGAGTCGCCTCCCGCACTGTCCGCACCCCCAGTGTCACCACCCCCACCGGCACCGGAGTCGATAGCAACAGGCTCCAGAGGCGACGAAGACAGCCGAGGTGGAAACCCAGTAGGGGTCTCCAAGCACGGTGAGCGATGAGTGGCTGCTGTGTTGTCAGCAGCAACGTCACCCCCCTCAGCTGGGCCAGAGGTGTCAGAGGTGACCTCCAAAGGCTCAATTAAGGAGGGTGGGTCTACCTGAGACATACCTGAGGGAGAAAAACCCTGTGGGGGGAGGGGGTATACGGGGGGGGACCTGGAGCGAGGAAGAGCGGCGGGGGGGGAACAGGGGTAGTGCGGTGGGGGTTGAGACGGTAGAAGCAACCCGACTCATCGAAGGTCACGTTCTGAGAGGACAGGACGCAGTGCGAGGCTGGGTGGTAAAACTGTCAGCTAGGCGCGTCAGTGGGAAAGCCAAGGAAGACGAGGCGAATGGTGCGGGAAGAGAGTTTGTCCGCGATAGCAGAAAGGCTGAAGCGGCACTGGCAGGGGCTGTAGCGTCAATAGCAAGGGCTCTAGCGGCGACAGCAAGGCTGAAACAGCAATAGCAGGGCTGTAGCGGCGATAGCAGTGACTGCAGTAGTAGGTGGCAGGTGCTGTGGCTGCAACAGCATTAGCAACTGTTGAAGTGGCTGCAGAGGCATTGGCTGGGAAGTAGGGCGCGTGGGCAGCAGAGTGCACGCAAGCAGCAGGGTACGCAGGGCGTGCGGGCAGCAGGGCGCGTAGGGCGCATGGGCAGCAGGGCGCATGCGGGGCGCACGGCAGCAGGGCACGCTGGCGACGCGGGCAGTAGCGTGCGTTGGCGACGCGGGCAGCAAGGTGTGCTGGCGACGCGGGCAGCAGCGCGCGCTGACGACGCGGGCAGCAGTGACGACGCAGGCAGCAGCGCACGCTGGCGACACGGGCAGCAGCGCACGCTGGCGACGCGGGCAGCAGCGCACGCTGGCGACACAGGCAGCAGAGCGCGTAATGCGCGCTTGCGACGCGGGCATCAGGGCGCGCGAGCTGCAGGGTGCACGTGGGATGCAGGGTAGCAGAGGCGCGCAGGGCGCATGCAGCGTAGGCACGCGGGCCAGGGCAGCGTGCGCAGGGCAATGAGCGGGCTGCAGGGCGCGCGGGGCGTGGGCAGCAGAGCGCACGTGGGCTGCAGGGCGCCCGGGCAGGTCGCGGGTAGCATGGGCAGCTGCGCGCTCGGGTAGCGTCTAGGGCAGCACGCAAGCCAGGGCAAGTGCGAACGCGTGGGGCAGGGTGGCTCTAGCGGGCGGTCGGGTCGCGATCGTTAGGCGCAGGGCAGAAAAACGGGCAGGGTAGAATGAACGGTGGGCCCTACAAAAAAGGTTCAGTCTTATGGACCTACGTGCTCTGATTCCATGTCAGAATCATGAGGCGGGAATGATGTGACTCCATCGCCCTAAAAGTCCCACAAACTGAATAATGAGCCACTAGAAAGCTGGCTAAGACTTATGTACTAGGGAGGAAAGGGAAGCTGGCCCGTGCCGGCGTTGAAAGCGCCCCCCTGTAAAACCCTGATCTATTATCAGTGCATGTAAAATTCTATTTTTTTACCCTGATTAGAACGGTAATGATTTCCAATATTGCAGCGAGGCATTTTCTGCTTGCACTGTGTCTGACTCTCGTGGACCTCACATGTTGCGCGTCCAGTTACGATGAGCTGGCACGACTGAAAAGTGACGTGCCAGAGCTCTTTGCACCGTCAAAAAATCGCCCTCACGCAATTCTGATTTCGGTCGCTAAAAAAAAATGATTGGATTGAACTCGCGAGACAAAGATGTACAGTTTGATGTGTTTGAATTGTATTTTTGTACTTCTTATTTTATAAGCGCATGCGCTTATGCCCAAAACTCATTTAGAAGCGCCCCCCTTCAAAAAACTTATTTTATTATAAGCGCACTGGCGCTACTATCCGGGGTGATAAGGTACAAGCATGAAACCATAATGGGTTACCCTCAATAAGTTGTACCCCAGTATAGCCTACAGTAACATAAGTTATAATTTGACATAATGCTTAGAATCAACCCTGATTTTTAGAGTTCTAAATAAAATAACCTTGAAATCTGAGTGGTTCAAAACGTAAAAAATCCTGGCCATAAGATGCGGCCTTTTTTCGATGATTAACCCTTTTCCAGCCTTTTCGGTAGAAACACAGTGCGGTAATTTTTTATTGAAAAAAATGAGTTATTGGACTGTTTTACCGTCAAATATTGTAGTTATAGTGAGGTGTGTCATAGGCGGTACAACTGTTGGGGTTAGGTTTATGTACCCCAACCAACCTTAGTCAAACCAACACTTTCACTCTTTACATAGTATCACCTAGGTTAGGATCCCGCGGGATCCCGTTTCTCTCGACCACGTCCGTAGCGCCCGAGCCTGTCCCGTACCCTAGTGTTCGTCACGCCCCTACTGTCCTTTAGCGCCTCTCGCGCTCGTCGCTCACGTGCCCTAGCGCCTGCTGCGCCGCCCGTCCCGTCCCGTTCGTCCCACGCGTCCCGTGCGTCCCGTCCCCCTAGTCCCCCGCATCCAGCGCGTCCCGTCCCCCCCGTCCCACTCGTCCCGCGCGTCCCATCCCGCACGTCCCGTCCCACGCGTCCCGCGCGTCCTGTCTTGTGCGTCCCGCACGTCTCGTTCTGCGCGTCCGTCGCGTCCCATCGCACGCGCCCCGTGCGACCTGACCGTCGCACGCCCCTCGTGCGCCCTGTCCGTCCGTCGCGCCCCGCTGCGTGTTGGATGCAGGTCATTCTGAGTGCTTATCATCCTAACATCCTGCCGAGTGCTCATGCTATTCATGCGTGCATTGTTTTCCATGAGCATATGTCATTGTGCATGGCTGTTGGATATTATCATCTCTGTGTTTTTCTCCAAGTCTAAATGCTTGATCATGGAGGGAAAATCCAAAGCTTTCCAACGATACCAAGATCGCCTTATTCCGACCAAGATCGCCCAAGTTACAAGATTTCCAAGACTTGGATTTCTTATTACCTTTTGGGGTTATATCTAATTTGAGCAATTATTGGGACATGACTATAAAGGGATCTTTGGTTGGGTGGTTAGGAAGGCAACTTTGACTTTTGGATTGGGGTGGCTAGGAAGGCAAGCTCTGGATACGGGCCACTCGGCTCTACGGACTCATCCGAAGGCAGAGCTGAGAGCGAGTGACCAGTAGGCAGAGGAGTGGACTGTGGCGAGGAGTACGTGAAGCGGAAGCGCTGAAGGATCTGCTGCACCATGTGTGACTGAGTCAAGGTGATGGTGCGCCGTGCTCTGTCCCGGGTGATCCGCAAGCCAAGATAGCTTGTCAGTTCACCCAGGTCTGTGCACGTGTGTCTCTTCTGCAGCTCCGACTTCACGTGGGCGAGTGCCGCAGTGTCAGCAGTGGCAAAGACCAAGTCGTCGACGTACACGAGGATGTAGAACGGCGGCAGCGAGGTGTCGGTGCGTAGAAACAGCGACGGGTCAGCAGTAGAAGGAGCGAACCCAAGAGCCGCAAGTGTAGTCCTCAGTGTGTCGTGCCACTCACGCGGCGCCTGGCGGAGACCGTAGACCGGTCGCTGGAGCCTCCACTGGGTGCCAGGAGGAACCGACCCAGTGAAGCCAGGAGGGCGACGCAGCCAGATCTCCTCGTGCAGGCTGCCCTGCAAGAAAGCTGTGCTGAAGTCAAGTGAGTGAAGCTCGTAGTCGCGCTGAGCGGCTATGTGCAGCAGCACCCGAAGAGTAGTCATCTTCGGGGTGGGGGAGAAGGTCTGGAAGAAGTCTACTCCCTCTCGCTGACTGAAGCCTCGAGCAACGTAGCGCGCCTTGAAGACAGGAGGAGAACCCGGCGGCCGCTTCATCCTGAAAATCCACATGCCACTGACGATGTTCGCCCCAGGTGGGGGAACCTCGTCGACGTAGGTGCCTGTGGACTTCCAGGAAGCCATCTCTGCGTCCATAGCTGTCTGCCACTGAGAGGAGTAGGGACCCTCTATCGCCTCTGCGTAAGAGCGCGGGGTCGGGATGTCTGGTGCATCCGGGTCTCCCTCAGGGGCAACTAGTAAGGACACGAGATGGGGCAAAGCAGCAGCAAAGCACTGGAACTCCTCCTGTCTGTCCTCAAGGACGTCCGTGCCAAGGGCACACTCACCCCCGACGGACGGAGGACAGACAGACTCAGACTCAGCAACAAGGCTAGCGGCGTAGTCTAGACGACACCGGGCAGCAAAGTCAATCAACTCAGCGACCAGAGCAGACGCAGCAGAGGACTCAAAGGTAGGGTCAGTGACAACGGTGGCGAGGAGACGCGTGACAGTGGGACTGGCAGCACGACGGGAGTCAGACTCCGGGTCAGGAAGAGTAGGTAGAGAGGACGCAGGAGGAGACGGTAGAGGGACACGCTGAGGAGCAGTGGAGGGACGCAGGGTCATGTAGTGAGTGCCAGGGACAGGAGGAGGACGCTCACGTGGGACACGACGACCAGTGCGAGCAGTACGAACAGGCGACGCAGGACGAGACTCAGGCTCACGACGCTCCGTAAGACCTCCTGTGGGAGAGGGACCAGGGAGAGGCGAGGCAGGCGGTAACTGGGACTGCGACTGGACAGGCGGAGGACACTCTAAGGAGGGAGCAGGACAAGGAGGAGGAGCCTGACCAAGAACCTGCTGAAGGAGTGGTACGAAGTACGGTCGCGGCCGCGCAGCGTCTCCAGAACCACCAGAGACACCAGCGCCAGGGTCCTCAGCACCAGCAGTAGCTCCACCGCCCGGGTCCTCAGCACCAGCAGCAGCTCCACTGCCCGGGTCCTCAGCACCAGCAGCAGCTCCACCACTCGGGTCCTCAGCGCCAGCAGCAGCTCCACCGCTCGGGTCCTCAGCACCAGCAGTAGCTCCACCGCTCGGGTCCTCAGCACCAGCAGTAGCTCCAACTCCAGGGTCCGTAGCACCAGCAGCAGCTCCACCGGCCGGGTCCTCCGCACCAGCAGCAGCTCCACCGCCCGGGTCCTCAGCACCAGCAGCAGCTCCAACTCCAGGGTCCGCAGCACCAGGAGCGCCACTCCGAAGGCTGCAGCGCCGTGTGTACCACTCTCGGATCTGCTGAAGGGAGGGGAGCTCCCGGGTAGGAGGGGAAGCACTGGTACCCGCTCCAGCAGCACCTCTCCGGAGGTGGCAGTACTGTAGGTACCTCTCCTGCAGCTGCTGCGAGGAGAGGGCTCCTCC